AGGAATCTGTTTTTTGGATAAGGGTCCAAAGTCATTCCTGACAAGGTAATCAGAAGGCCATAATTGGAAAATACAGGGCTGGTTGAAAAGTACAGTCTTCACACACTTAAGACTTCAAAGCCTGTCCTCTTGACTTCCAAGTCACATAACCTTGAGCCAGTTACTCTGCCTACCTGTTCATTCTCCGAGACATAACCCGCCCAGCATGGCTATAAGACTGCAGGAGAAAACGGCAAGGTACCCCGTATACTTCCTCCTCACAAAGCTGCCTGCCAAAGACCATTCCCTTTCCTCGCTTTAAAAGCTGGACAACTTGGAACAGTTTTTCAAAAAGTCCCAGCATGACCCCCTTCTCAGAAGATGGATTTGGCATAAAAAGCTACATTTTAAAAAGCCCAATGGAATCACTTTGGCCATTTAAAGTGGCTCTGCCTCTCATAGTTAATGGTAAAGGTAAGGGTGACAGCTGAATTTAGCCACCAACAAAACAAGTTGTAACTGTGCTCCAGATGGGTGGATAATACAATACTAATGATCTTTATAAAATAGGTTGAGGGCTGGGGATTTAGCTCAGTGGTTCTGCTGCCTGCCTTGCAAGGGCAAGGGGCCCGAGTTTGATTCCTGGTCCAAAATATATATATATAAAATAGGTTGTTTTTTGGCTTTTGGGAGGGTGGTACTGGGGAGTGAAGCCAGGTCCTCTGCACTGAGTGCCATCCCTAGCCATTATTATTATTTTTTGGTACCGGGGATCGAACTCAGGACCTTGAACTTGTGAGGCAGGCAGCGAAATCACTGAGCTAAATCCCCCGCCCCCTAGCCATTATTTTTTGAGACAGGGTCTTGCTAAGTTGCTAAGCTTCCCAGGATGGGATTGAGCTTGCAGTCCCAAAAACAGCATTTCTAAAAGCCTTTGGGTGTCCTGGTCTGCCAGCTCAGCTTTGGATCTACCATGTTCCCACCATTGCCCCTTGGACTCCTCCCTGCACCCCAGGAGCAGGAGTGCCCTGACTGGTGACAAGTGCCCAGGTCCTCCTGGTTCCCGGGCTGCTGCACTTTGTCCTCTGGAAGCAGATGGGGAATCGGTTCACCTGCCTGCTCCCACCATAGCCAAACACCTGGGCGAGCCACAGCCAGCCTCTGAGACCAAATGGCTGACAGAGCACATTAGCTTGCCTCCTGCTTGTCAAAGCAATTAGGCTCTGGAAGGTAGTAGCAGCAGCTCCAGGTCGAAAAAACTCCATCTGTTTATCAGCCTGTTCATCAGCCTCATGGATGGTGCAACAGCCCAGGAGGGCAGGGGATTCAAAGTGGGGACAGGGACTGGGCTGGCAGTGGGACATCAGAGTCATTACAAACATCTGGCAGAAACACTGAAAGACTCAGAAGCATCCTACAGTCACAGCCACAGATGGAAAAAGGTCTCATTTTGGTGGCTCTGTTGGGCAGGAGACCAGCAAGGTGCTCCAGAGAAGGGACAGGAATCCGGGCCATCTATGGGGTGACTGACAAGCTGGCCCTCCCTCACTTCTACTCTCTTCTAGTGACTACCCATATTATGCTGAAATGACACAAGCGACAATAATTAAGCCCAGATCTCTGTGGATCATTCGCAGTGATAATTCCACCTTTGTAATTCAGCTTCAGATAAACCCCTTTTGTTCTGCCTTATAACACAGATTCTAGTATCATTCAAGTATATTAACTGTAGCCTATTACTGTCACAAAAAATGCTCCCTGAGCCATAGCAAAAGACTCCCCAGACAAAACTTTATGTCATGTTAATCCAAGCTTTAATAACTATGAGGATATATAACTGTATTCTAATTGTGCTCTGCGTTCCTGCATACAAAAACAGAAGATATCAAAAATGACAGCCGCAGATCTCTTCAAATAAGAAAGCATTAATTCCCCACTCTGGGTGCTGGGGTGTGGGGGTAAAGGGATGCAAGTTTCTAAGAGGAAAGAAGAGATACAAGGCTAGGGATGGGGGGGTGGACTCTGGGGCTGGTGTGGGACCACCATAGCATAGGCCAGGCTGGGGAAAATGGGGTAAACGGACACAATCTGGGAGCATAGGCGGAGACCTACCAAAAGGACAAAGCCAGAGAAACAGGTGTGAGACCAGGTTCCTACGCTAACTCAGTGGGTGACCTTGGCCACATCATTCCCTCTGGAAGGCTGGGCCTCCCTTTCTCTCTGAAAAGAGGACATCAGATCAAATGTACATATGCCCTGGCAGGGCTCACTCCTCCGCCCTCCCCCGAGGCCCAACCTGACCAAATGATGAATAGTCGCAGCCCCAGGGCTCACCTTGACCAAAACTGCAAGCTTGAAGCTCGGGGACCACGTGCTGTGCCCTAAACCTACAGCCCACCTGGGCTCTCAGCCTCGTCACTCTGTTCCACTGTTGCTCCTTCTAAGTGGCTCCCCGTCCTTTCCTAATGTGCTATGCCCCTGACTTTTTGTTGTATCTGCTCTTTATCCCGTGCTTCTCTCCACTAGAGCTTAGCTCTGTTGAGACCGCGATTTGTTTCTGCTCTGTTCACTGATGTGTTCCTTGCGCTCAGCATGGAACCTGCCACACAGCACAGCCCAGGTGTTTCTTCACCACTGAGCCTCAGTTTCCTCAAGTGGAGGGGGAAAGAGGCATAGGCCTGACTCCTGGTGTTGCTGAGAGGAGAGAATTCAAGGGCAGATGTGAAAGCAACTGGAATAGTGCCTGCCATGAGAGAAATGTTCAAAACAGGTTATTTTGTGGAGAAAAACAAAATTCCCCCGAAGGCTGAACATGCAAATTTCACTGTTCAGACCAACGGCAGCTCCTCAAGTGCTCATCACCCTCTAGTCCCACTAGAGCCTCCACCCCTAGACTCCCCCAACCCCTGGCCCCATTTCAGGTCCTTATCTGTCACCTGGCACCAGCCAGGGAGCCAACCATGAGGCTCTCGTGGGCACAGATGCATCATGAAGCCCTCTGGCGTGGGCATCTGGAAGCCCCAAATTAATTTGGGCACATCAGAGACCTCTTGGCCTTACAGCTGCCTTCTCTATAAAACCAGGATGCTGTATTTTAATGGGGGCCCCTTGCTGCAGGCAGTGAGAATAAACTATGTATAATAAAATGAATACACTCCGACCAGAATAATTATTACTCTGTTATTTGGCCTCTGTGAGCCTTGGCTGCCTCTGCTGTGGAAAGGGGCATTCTAATCGCCTTCACCCTCGCTGTCTTATCGCAGGGGTGGTCCTGAAGACCAAAGGTGCCGGGAGAGGTTTCTGCTCATTAGAATGGGAACAGAGGAACAATCTCAGGGCCCAAGGGCACTTGGTTCAAGACACAGAGGCTTGGCTTGGCTCCCAAGTTCATGCAAACACCGCAGCTTCTCCAAAGGGCAGCTTTCTTCATCTGTGTAGTGGAGATTAAAACTTTCCCTGCTCACCTGCCTCAAAGAGCAGGGTGAGGCTGGGTCAGGTACTTCATAGCCTGCCAATCACATTCACTCCCACAGGTACAGGGCGTGAAAATGCTCCCAAGGGCAACAGAGCAGTGCCTTCATCCCACCCAGAGAGTTTCAGCAGCAATGTCAGAAGAACAGGCCAGTAATCCTAGTACTCACTCGGAGGAGGCTGAAGTAGGAGGATTAAAACTTGGAGCCCAGCCTGCACCACTTAATGAGACCTTGTTCGCCCCCCAAAAATATTTATAAAGGGCCGGAGATGTAGCTCAGTGCCAAGGCCCTGGGTTCAACCCTCAATACTGCAAATAAATACATACACAAATAAATCAGGCAGATGAGAAGATCCTCCTCTCTCCATTCCCTGAGGAGGCAGGATCTTTAGTAAGCTTAAGAAGGTTTCCCCCCTGCCCTTGGATCCTGAATGCCGCCTTCTGGTGGCAGGGACTGAGATGGCCAAGGAACAGAAATCTGGACATGTTATGACCCAAATATAGGCAATCTGATAGTGCTCATCCAGGCCAGACTGCCACTCGACAAATACTATCCCCTGGCAAGCTTTCCTCATTGAGATCTGAACCACTCGCCTCTTTATTGATATTCTCACTGTACTTAACCACCAAAGAATAAAAGAATCAGGAGGTGGCAAGTGAGGGCAGGAATTTCATTCATCTTTTCCTTCTTTTTTTGCTATAGATCACTATGCAACCAGATTTTATCATGAGACAAATCAAATTCCTAATGTAATAGCAATCATTCCTTTTACCTTTCTTGTGACAGATGGGGATGACACAAACACCCAGAGCTCCCACTTCCAAAATTCCTGGAAAGCAAGTAGCTAAGGCTGAGGATGGAGGACAGACGGTTGCTCTCCAGGTCTCTGAGGGGGCCCCCTCGGTCTCCCCTCCCCTGGGTACTGGAGATTGAACTCAGGGCCTTCATACTGAGCTACATCCCCAGCCCTTTTTTAGTTTTATATACAGTCTAAGTCTCTTAGTTGCCTTAGGCTAGGCTAGAACTTTCCGATCCTCCTGCCTCGGTTTCCCAGAATGCTGGGATTAAAGCCATGTGTCATCACACCTGGCTCCCACTTGGTCTGTAGAGCCTGCTGGCTGATGCTCAGCATTCTGGGGGCATGGCTGGCATGAGAAACTATTTTTTTCAATCCTTGCCAATCCAGTACTGGCTAGCAAAGACTTAGATGACTATTTGAGAACCCTCAGTATCGATTATGTCAAATACTATGACATTTTTATTTCCTGATTTCTTGACCTTAAAGGGTCCCAGTGGATTTACTGAATACTGCAATGCCACCATGAGATAACTGTGGGGAGGAAAGACACCCAGTAATTACGCCATCTTGATTATCTCTGGCCCATCACCTCAAAGGATCATGTAGGATGTCTCAGGCATCCTCTCCCCGCTTTTCATGGGGATTACTGAGACCCTGACAACAGGATGGGTGCCTTACTTTACTAGAGGAATACTGTAGAGAATTACAAAGGAAGGACTTGAGGAATTCAGAACATTATAAATCAGACGTTATCTTTTTCGTCTTTATTAATATGTGAACTCCAGGCAGCAATTCTGGTTGAAAAAGAAAAAGAAGAAAAAGCTTTAATCACAACCAATTTAAGTGGTATCAGGAGCAAATTATAATACTAATGTAGTACTTGGAGAATGAAAATGAAGTTTGAAAAGAGGAAAATGTTGACTTTCATAGCAAGGCTCATTTTCCTTCTGGCCAGCATCAAGAATGCATCATCCAGGAAAGAAAACTGAGGCAAAGCCGCCAGGATGGAGGGCCTCAGTGAATGGCAGCAAGAAGGCTCACTGTGGCTTCATACACCTGCCAGGAGCTGTGTCAGAAAAACAATCATCATCATCATCATCATCATCATCATCATCATCATCATCATCATCATCATCATGGTGTTGGCCTTCCTCCCACCAGAACGCTCAGTGATTCCCAGATTGGAAGTGGAGATTGGCAGCCACTGGTCCCAGCCTCCCTGCAGTCACATCTCTGATGGGCACAGGCCCAAGGCCACACTCATTTGGCCCCAGGCCTCCCCAAAAGGCCAAGACCCCCTGGCTGCCAGAATCCTGCATTCTGAGGTGTGCCATGCCTATATTCAATGGATCTGAGGTCTTATCTCAGCCACAAACACTGAACCCCAGGCTGCTCGCCTCTTTGCCCCAGGTATTCTCCTGGGGTACGTTCTGCGACCTCTGCGGGTCTGCAAAGTACTTCTGATTACAAGGTCTACATTCTATGGAAATGTGGCAATGCAGGGTCTAGGTGTCCTAAGAGTTCAGAGTTCCCTCACTCCACACCCTGCCTTCTCCAGCTCCCCTGCCTGGCCCTGGTCTTAGGATAGACAAAAGAAACAGGAATAAGTGGGTTAGTTGCTCCCACAGAAGATCAGAATAAATTACAAGAATGCTCTGAGGTCCCCAGGTGAGCCCTTCATCCTGGCGCCAGGGTGGCCACAAGCTGTGAGCGCAATGGCCCAGGAGGGGCACTGTGGCACCTCCCATCCGCCCACCCTCCTGCCCCAGAGCCCTTGCCAGGTGCTTAGCAGATGCTGCCAACAGGCACCTTGGCTCCACAGAGTCTGAGCCTTCTAAGTGACCAGCTCCAAGTACTAAGCTGCTGCTGCTGGCTAAGAAAAAATAACAACACAGAAGGAAAAAAGAAGACAGAGCAAGTGGAGAGTCACTCCCACCCCAAGGCATAGCCACCACTCCAAACATCTGAAAACCGGAGTTGAGAAATAGGGCAGATCAAAATGCTTAACCAAAGTTCTTATGAGACAAGCTCCACTTCTCCCCCCCCAGAAACAAACCAGGGCACTTTACCAAGATCATGGTCACTTCTAAGATATCTTGAAACATGACCCATGGCATTTTATACCCAATGCGTGTCTCTGGGCAAGGATCGTCCCTTTGCTCTGAGAACCGGGGCACATGAGGGAACCCAACCCAATCACTGCCCCATCCCTGCCCACTCCCTCAAGGCCACACCATGCCCTCCCTGCACCAGAGAGGGCAGCTTCAATGCAGAGCCATCAGTGTGAGAAATTGTTTCAGCAGCCCCAAACTCCAGGCTCTAGTTGGAGGGTGTCCACAGGCTTCCTGCCAGAGGAGATTTGAGACACCGAAAATACAGTGTCTGCCAAGGACCAGCCTTTTGGCTACTCCAAGACACCTGGCAGAAGTCATCAGGTGTCCAGTGTGGGTTTCCACGTATTATGCAAAAGCACACAAAGGAGAGGTCTCTATGGTGCCTAACGGAAAGTCTGTTGTTAAATATTCTAAATTACTGGGTGCTAAAGAACTAGTCCTCACTGAACACCAGGCATTTGTTTCACATATAGTATTTCATCTACACTCCTACCACAACCATTACCAGGTCAATGATTCCCATTTTGTAGATGGGAAAATCAAGGCTCAGGGAAATGAAAGAACTTGCCCAGAAAGCACCAAGGTCCCTGCTCTCCCTGCCACAGACTACTCCTATTAGAAACCTTGCTTTCCAGAAGTGGGAGCTGAGAGTGCTCCCATTAGAACTGAAAGCAAACACAACTCATTCCTAAAGTTCCATCACTTGGGCTTCAGAATCTGCTTATTGTTTCCCCTCTTTCCCAATTCCTGTTTCTTAGCAAAGGCTTTACCATCAGCAGAATGGAGCTGCCACAGGGCAGAGGTCAGCGCCTTCCAGGTCCCCTCCATTGCTTCACAGCCTGCATTTCCTCCAGCATCCATGGTGAACATTATTAGGTTGGTGCTAAGTGGACTGAGGATCACACAGCAGCTGTTGCTGGTGGCCAGCACGGCACCCTGTACACAGCAGGCTCCTCTGATGTTGCTGATGGTGAGTGAGGAGCAGCTGTGTGTGTCAGGGGAGGTTCAGGGAAAGGAAGTTCAGGGGAAGGAGAGAAGGCAATGTGAGCTGAGCCCTACGGGTGCACAAACCAGAGCAATTCTGGGAAAGCTACTGGGCGATACCAGCTGGCTTCAGGGGCTCTGTCCACCAAGGGGATGGCTGTGCCAGGAGCCGCTGTGGCCCATTTGGAATTCCAAAGCTCATTCTCAGAAGCCTGGTGTATTTGCTTCAAGTTCAGGGTCCACTTTTTCCTGCCAGATGGATCTGCCCTTCTTTACCCTGCCTCCTCTCCTCCAAAGCACCTGACAGCATCCGCCCCTGGGCCCCTGCAGCCCCAGCCCACATCCCCTCCCGCCTGACCCTTGCTGCTGCTCCGTTCTCCCAGTGCACAGTCTCCCTGGAGAAGTTCCACCAGACCCCACGTCAACCTCTCGCCCTGCGGTCTTTCACGGATTCGTGGATTGGGAAACTGGAGAGACCCTCAGAGCTCATGTCCAAAGCCCTCCTTGACAGATGAGGGCAACCTGGACCCCAGAAGCCGTGTGGCTTGCCCGAGGCCCCTCAGCCAGTTGGCAGCAGAGCTGGCACCAGAACCCAAGGTTTTAATGACCCTTAATGGCTCTGATGACACATAAATGAGGACAGAGCTGAGAGCGAAGTCTTGGGCCCTGGCTGGCTCCTGGCAGTGCCTGCTTCCCCACAGAGAGGCTCTTAGAGAAGGGCGCTCGAAGCTCTGTGCCAGCACATCGAATTTTCTCTTGCCATGTTTGCACACAGCCAGCCCTAATGCACTGTCATTTTGCAGGATTGGAACACGTTTTTAAGACACATGTCTGGCTCTTGAAAAGTTTAATATACACAGTGCTGGACCCCAAAAGCCAGGGCAAAGAACCAGCAAATCCCCCCCACCACATTCCTGAGCCCCAATGATAGTAAATAAGATATGATACGATAGTAGGAAAGAAGATCTTTCCAAGGAGAGGAAATTTCAACCCTTTGCTGATTATCTTTCATTATTCAATTGAGACAGATGTTTAGGATGTATGGAAATATCATTTTCTCCTGGGACAAGGAAAAGGGAAATGGTGTGGCTCTATCTAAATGAGTTTCCCTCTGGTTCTCTGCAGTAACCTTAGTAGCACATTCAGGAGAAATGAGGGAAACTCAGACCAGCATGTTGTAGGTGGGAGTACACAAATGAAGGCAGCACTGGCTGCTGCTCTGGGCTCCTTCCTCTGGTTCTCTCCATCTAATCCCTCCATGCACAGTTACTGGAGTCTACCATGGGCCTGGCACAGAGCTAAGCAGAGGGAGCAGCTCATAGGCTAGTGGCATGATGGACAGGCAAAGAATTAACATGAGGCACTAGGCAGTGTGTACGGAGGGGGCACAGAGTGCTTCGGGAATGGAGGAAGCAGTGGGTAAAGAAAGAGCAAACTGGCAGGACAGTAGACGTCTGCTGGCACAGAGGTGAAGGTGGGCAGTGTAGAAAGAGAGCTCCAAGGAGGGAACATGGCTCATTTAAAGAAATGGAAAAGAAAGAAAGTACATGGGACATCCGGTTCAAGGAGGCTAAAGCTGGGCATATGAGAAAGCCAAGACGTGTAGCCTGCGCTTCCCACATCTGATGAACCACATCATGCCCTCTGCCCACTGAAATGCAACCCAGCCTTCAAGTCTAGCTCAAGTGCCAGTGCCTCATCTCCCCATCTGGGAAGATTTACCCTCCTCTCTTTTACAATCCCAAAGCACTTTGTGTGCTCCCCCTTCTCTCCTTGTATTATGGTGTCGATCGCTGTCTTGTCCATTACACTCTGTGTTCCCTGCAGGCAAGGACATGGGTGACATGGATCTTTGCAGCCCTTACAGAGTTTTGGACAAAATAAGTCCTCACTCAGTAAGTCTGGTAAGACACGGAAATATCACAAGATAACGAACAATCTAGGTGGCAGGGATAAAGGTGGTCTTTCAAACTGATTCTCATTTCCAGACTCTGGATTGGCCACCATTTGTATCTTCTCGTCTCAGAACTAATGATGGAGAATTCAGTACCTAAATGACAACTTACTCAAAGCAAAAACAAGAAGGTTGCCCACCAGCAAATAAGCTTTCCAAGCACACATCCGTGGAAGAAGATGAGTTTGGCAAAAGAGGGTGAAATAAATCCCATATATTATTTGCACATAAAGAAATCACTTTCAAGTTCTCTGCAAGAGAAAAGTTATATAAACACTGTTTCTGTCATGATTCCAATGACCTAAACTATTCTCAGAGTCCTATTTTGGGAGTACAAAAGCCTCGATTTTGCTGGGTTAGGTTTTTGTTTTGTTTTGCTCTTCCCTATAGAAAGGAGACTCAGCTCATTTGGATTAACTGAAGTGAAAAGAAAGCAATATCTCTGCTCTAATTCCAAAAGCCTAGGAGAGCCCCTTATAAATGCATTTTTGTTCTCGAATGCTTGCGAACCTGTTGATTAGAGAAGAGTATTGTCTGTATTTGCTAGGAGAAAAAAAAAATACCCCTGCAACGTCCCTCGCTCACCAACCAGGCAGCTGAAATGCTACACTCACGTGCATGGGCGTTCAAAGCCAGAGAGCAATTTGCAAAAGAGGCTAAAACTCATTCCAGAAGCAGCAGAAGGTGTTGTTCTGACTGCATCCTTGGGAGGTGACTGAGGGAACGAGCCTGGTTGGAGACATGGAAGGCCTCTCCATCCCAGGGCTATGATGGAAGGAAGTGGGTCAGGTACAATGGTGTGGTCAGGTGCATGGGTGGCGTACAAGCAGTCTCAGCCTGCAAGGGTAGAAGGGGCTCAGAGCACAGGTGCAGCCATGGCTGTCATTTCCCCTGATGGCCTCCTTCACCCAGTGATGCCCTCCCTTCCATGATGGGAGGAGGAGGCCACTGGCTAATCCTCAGACTGGACTCTGTCCTCCCTGACCCCTCTGGAGCACGTAGTTATTATGGCAACGTGTTGCAAAGCAGGTTCCAAGGAACACTAGTCCCATAAAAGTACATTCCTGTGGCCAAACACCCACTGCCTTCAGCTGGGGGCTCAGCATACAGTATAGCTGGAGATTCAGAGAGCTAATCATTACATAGGGAAGGCTCTGTGAAGGCCTGGAAGAAGGGGCCTGTGTAGTCTCCTAGACAGAACCATAGCCCTCTTGCCCCCGAGCAGCTCCGAGTTTTCTAAGTAACATCCACGACAGGTATTGGGAGTTCTTCCCTTCCATGCATGGCTTCCACCTGAAGAATCCTTTGTTTCTACATGTGCAAATGGTTCAGTCCTTTTCTAGATACAGAGGCAATTGGGAGAAATTAAAGAAGAGATCAACACAGACTCAAGAAAGCTTCACATTTTAGCCAGACGACCTTCAGAAATCCAAGAATTTAAAACTCTCAATTTAGAAGACACAGCACTAGCTCAGGAGGGACAACCAAGAGCTTGATCCCCACCCTTTGCTGTGAAACATATGCTGAGATCAACAATGTGGCCTGGGGACACTTTTCCTGAGACTAGACTAGTCAGGCCTATTTGTTCCAGCTGGGAAGGAGGCTGTTCTGGAATGGAAACAAAATACTATGGGAACACACCTCAGAGCCAGAAGTGCTTAGCTCTTTAGTGAGCATGCACCATGGGGAAGCCCACACCAGGACTCAGAAACAGAGAAGATGAGAGTCAGTTCAGATAATGGCTCACCTTCCAGGGGACAGAGAACATCTGGGTGGAAGAGGCATGAGCAAAACTCCATCAGTAGCCCAATGGGCTACAGAAGTTGGGACTGGAATAGAGAAAAGACACGGGCATGCATGTGCCATAGAGGGTCCACCAGCCAAGTGATAAAGACACCCTACTGTCTCGGAGGGGAGCTCAGCTTCCTGTAGGAACATTTTCAAGCAGAGAAGGGATATAAACAAAGCTGTTTTTGAGGGACATTTCTCCAATTTCAGTTTACTCAGTAAACTGAAAAATATATAAAGGAGACAGTAAGCCAGTGTATAAGTAAAAATGGACTAGTAGGTAAAAACATACTTAAAACCTGAAATAATCAGTAGAGAGAGCTTTTTTGAGGTTAGCAATACCAAAATCAGTGAGAGAAGGAATATTTCTCTCTACCCAACATTCAAGGGGAAATGTCCCGAAGACCACTGGATTTCCAAGCTCAGCACCCCCAACAAAGCAAGCAAGGGGAGAAGCTTTGACGTAGACCTGTTTACATAAAGGTGGAGGGAGAAGGTGCTGGGGATGAGGCCCTGAGAACACCTGCCTTAGGGGGCAGAGGAGAAGCAACCAGCCTTGGAGGGCGAGAACAGAGAGAGAGGAACGACAGCCAGAGAGACCAGTCTCCTGACAGATACGGGGTAGCAGGTAAGGACTCAAGAGCCAACCACATGGCTGCAAACTCCAGTCCTGCTGCCTACTACCTATGAGACTCTGGGAAAGTGCCTCAGTTTCCTCACCTGTAAAACCAGCTCTCCGCTCCCAAAGCCCCCTGTTATACTTGTTGTGGTGCCTACTGCTAGGACCCTGCAAACCACTTACATTTCTGCTTTGCCATCTGTTCCTTGTTAGACTCTGCCAATAGGAGGCGCTAGAGGGACACCTCAAGGCTAGGGGAGGACAAAGGTCTTGCCTCTTCCCTACTGCTTCTGGGAGGCTGCATCACCCTAGCAATGTGTTTTCATGTTGGCAGTCATGGTGCTTTCCCCTACTGGAAGCTTAGTCCACTTTACAGTTTCTCCCAATGCTTGCAGAACCAGAGGTAAGGGGTACAGTATACACTCCTCAGAGAAACCAGAACCAGAGGCCAAGACCCCCTGCCCAGAGGCTTAGAGCGCTACTTCCTCCGAACAGCTAAGGTTTTTGTTTCCTTGTTTTGCAGTGCTGAAGATTTGAACTCAGGGCTTCATGTATGCTAAGCAGGTGCTCTGCTATTGAACCACATCCTGTCATCCCAAATATCTCATGTTAATCATTCCAAACTCATCAGCCCTTGGTAGGGTAGGGATGGTGGCTGCTTCCTGCATTTACTACATCCATGGCATCTTACAGTGGCCCCCAAACCAGCACCATCCATAGCCCCTGAAAACTTGTTAGAAATGTGAGTTTTGGGGTCACCCAGAAATTCTGGGGTTGGGCCCAGTAATCTGTGTTTGAATATGATCTGCAGAGGATCCATATGCACCCTAATGCTAGAAAGCACACGCCTCAGAGTTTTCTTCTACTCTTTGAGCTACCTAGGTAACTACTTTGTAGCCCATTCACAATGCTTCTCTACACAATAACTGGCTTGGCTTCTGTCTTTTTGCTAGGCTTGGTTTCTGTCCCGTGGGGGTAACACCACGGACTTCACAATGCAAATGCTAACGGTTATCATTACCAGTTTGCTACGAGAAATTAAGAGGGGCTGTGGTCAACATGATCAAATATGCAAGTATATTGCATTAGGTTATTGTTGTTGCCCTTTCAAAGCAAAGTTTGAAGATTTGATCGGGGAGAAAAATACCCTGACAAACTCACAGAGCCAGACTTTCTTAGAAAATGCTTCCTTTTCTGTCAGTTCCCCCATGGATGCCATGCAAAACCACTCCATCTATCAAACTGTCAGAAGGAACTGCTCAATTCTGAAGTCTCACTCACACAAAATCTCCGCAGAGTCCAATGCATCTATGTGGTCTGGCCCTGACTTTCTCAACGCAGGCACATTCAGATGGCCTGCAGGTCCTCATAATGTCACTGCTGTCCACAAGCAGGAATCAATGCAAGTTATAGGCACAGTGTCTCAGAATGCCAGAGAAGGAAAAGACCACCCAAGTCATGCAGCTCATACTCCTGTGCTTAAAATGAGGATGCTGAGATTCAGAGCTGCAGGAACGATTCCAAGGTCTAATAGTGACCAGGCCATAGCTAACTCCAGCACCAAGTCTCTGGACTCTGGTCACACTCAGTCTCCCTTCAATTCCATTAGACATGAGTGACATGGCTTTGGCCCTACCATGTGAATTTCTTAAGTACAATAATTTAACAAGCAGTAAGCAATCAAGCTGTAACTGGGCGGAGGAGGACTACAGAAGTAAGGCTGCGAAGTGCTTAGGAAAGAGCATGACTGTTGGCAGGCAGTTTTCTTTGCCCTTCAAAATAACAAATGAAGTCAGGCATTTACTGTAGCATGGACGCCAAAGCAACCGTGAGCCCACGGTGTTTCCAACATCTTAGGAGACAGGCACACCACTCCAAGACAATGCATTCTTAAACAGATTCTGACTCCAACCCTGAGATGGTTGGGTCTCTTCCAAGAGATGTTAGCCACTGTGAGATATCTCTTTCAGTTCTTTCTGTAGATCTCCTCGGAATGTGCCAGATAAAGAGGCAATTTTTCAGGTGGCCGAAGGTTGTATGTAACGCATCACCTGCCTTCCACCAGGATTTGTGCTCATTTTTGTCTGCCCCCCGGTTGGGCCTGTGGATCCTGAGGTGCCATAGCAACATGAAATCAACATGGAGCAAACTGTTAAATGAATAATTTACTGATTTCATAAGAACCTGTCTTGCAATTTATAGTTCTATTATCTTTCCTGCCCATGTCTTAACTTCTTTGTATAAAAGCTACAATCAAGCTGAATAACATTTGCGAATCTAATAAGCATACACAAACCCTGTACTCAAGCCGAGAGGTATAGATTGATTCTGACAGGAGTATGTATCCTTTGAGGCCAAATCCTAACACTGCTGCCTCAATTTCTTTGCCCATTCTGTAAAGGGGTAAAAATTAAGGAGCAAATAACCTTCAATAAGCTTTACATTCTGGGATGTAACATTTCTCTTCCTTGGGATATTTGGAGCTAATCAAGTCAGAGTTGAGTGGCATTCAGAAGTATTATGTGAAAGAAATATCATCGGCTACAATCTACCAATTGTCACTTTAAAAATTCCCAAAGAGACCTAGTTACTAGCAAAAGAGAGGGGGTAAAAGCAAAGTACAGTTTCAATGACAATTGTGGTATTTTAAAGGCTCTTTCAATATCATCAGTGATAACATTTTAGTGGCAAACACATACCCTGTCACTCAGGTTCAATTTAAAGGATATTTATGAAGAAGAAAATACAATGAAAGCAGACTTATTTGCTGACTTATTTATTTGGGTGGAATAGGTTACAGATTATTCTGGCTCTGTGCTTTTCAGCACAACGGATATATCCTTTGGAAATGCATTACCTGTGGGCCGCTACTCTGCAATCTCCTCCAGAAAAATCAACCCGAGATGATGCAACTCCTGACTACAGAGAAATGCAGATTTTAACACCTGTTCGCTGGAAACCCAGTTTCTTTGCACCCATGATGGTCAGTAGCCTTGGGGGGTAGCCTCATGTGTGTGCACAGTTAGCAAAGACCCCAAGGAAATGTGTTTCTTTCTCCAGTGTGCAGACACTTGACCATCCTTGAGGACAAGTCACTGAAATCCTAAGAGTTCCACTCTATGGTTACTGGTGCTACCGACACACTTCTTCCTTCTTAACATTCACTCACAAAATTGTCACATTTAGGGGTGAGGCTAAAGTCACCATGTTGTTGATGGTTACCTCGTATTAAAGAACCGTGCTTCTTCTGTGACGGGGGTGTGGTCAGCATGAAAACAAACTCATACAAGTTACTTGCAGAAACTTCATGGCCCCAAGACTAGGACAGCTTGGCCCAAAAGGTGACAGCTCTAGGAACATAGGAATTTTGTGCAAAGGCTCTTCCTCTCATCTATTTATAGTACACTGTCTCTGCAGCCGAGGTCTGAAACCCAGCCAAGCACGAGCAGAGGTAGGCCTGTTACATCCCGCTCACATGATCCATCTCCAGATTCTGAACAGACTACTCAAGGGCTCAGGACGAGGCAGCTGCCCTGACGAAGGCAACAAGAAATCTCTTCTCCAACTTCAAAACTTTCAGCCTTGATCTCAGCTAATGTCAATGTGGGTCCTCGGGAAGATGTACATTTTTTGGTTTTATTTTGCTTGTTTTTAACAGTTACGTCGATAGACACTAACATGAACTCTCTATATCTTAATTTTGCCAGACTGAGATTTGAAATAGCTGTTTGTCCTGGTGACTGTGACCTAGTGAACTGGTTGAGGGAAATAGAAGGGTTATAGGCATTTTAATTGTACTGCCCTGGGCCTGAATACTGACAAGACCATGGATATATTACTTGAGCTCCATAAACCTCAGTTTCCCCATATGGAAAAAATATATAGATTCCCCTTCATCAGACCTATCACGGAGGATCAAACAGATCTCGTACACAAAAAAAGGTTGAGGTGGTGCCTACCTACACGATTCGGTAATGGCAGCTGGGATACTGGCCACAGGGACCTTGCTGGCCATGTAACTCCCCACCACAATGAACATATGCAACTCCCAAGTTCTGTGGCTCCTACTGGTTCACACGCACCTCCGTTTTCACTTCGGCTTCAATACACTTGAAAACACAAATGCATGACCCTGATATTTTGGATATTGTTTCCTGCTCTTCTTTGGAAGAAATGTTGAACTGCTCAACCTTAAACATGAAAATGGAGTCAATGGGATGTTTTTTCCAACACAGAAGTGAAAAAAACCAAACCTGCTCAGGAAAAGGCAAAGCAATCAGGACCCCTGAGTCCAGAAAAGGGTTAACAAAGGCCAGGGTTTAGGGGACTAGAGGGAACTTGAACATTGGGTAAAACTATCCTTTTCCTAGCTCCAGATCGCCAATGCAGGTGTGAAGAGGAGCTGTCTCTCCTGCTACCCCAACATTCAAAGCCCCATTCCTCCTAAATAGTTTGAGACCGCAGGACTAATCTCTGCAGGCCCTTTATTTATCCCTATTGACATTAGTTACCCCAACCTTCAGCAGCCTGAGCCTCCCGGGTCACTCCTTATGGCTCTATCTTCTACCTCTTCCCTTGAGAACTCTTCCCTACATCCTTTCCCCTGAAACACACACTGTCTTCTCCTTGCTGGGCCAGGCCTAGAAGGACAATGGCACATGGCTGTCACTCAGTGATGATTCAAATGAATGAATGAATGAATGAATGAACATATGCAGCAGCAAAGAGACCAAGTAGCCATTCTCTCAAAGGATTAAACAGCTGCATGCTTGCTAGCTTTCTAAAGAGAAAAAATATATATATTTTAGCAATGTGATGAGGATATAAACAACAAACAGTTTAGTCTCTTGTCCAAGGCAAAAAATCAGACTGCTTCACTTTAAAATCTAGCATAGGACCCTTGGATTCCTTCCAAATCTGAGAACCACTGTGTGCTTCTCCCAGGGCAGACTGGGACTTCACGGTGGCCTCCATCACATCTCTGGTTCAGTATGAGAATTCAGTAACCCAATGACCTAAGCGCTGGCCTTGAATATAACAGAGACGTCAGTGGCAATCTCTCTATCTCCCTTGGTCTTGGGGGCAGCTGGTACTATAATGCATGCTTGAGAGGCCTGTGGCCTTTTCTTTCTTAAGAAAAGAAACTAAACTATTCGGCATTGCATCCCAAAGGCTTCAGGTCCTGTAATTTGAAACAAAACATAAGAATTAAGTAACAAAGGCTTCTTCCACCAGATACTGAACCTGTGGTGCTTCTGCACTGGGAAGAGATCTTGAAGAATGTACATAGAAGCCAACAGGGCACCAAGGATTCTAGAATCTGGGGCCCATTAGGTGCCACCCATTCCAACGTGCTGATTCTGACAAATGGCTCCTCCTCTTCACTGGGGGGGCCACTTGGACAGACCATCTGCTGGCTTTTGACCTCCGCTGATAGTCCATCCTCAGTATGCCAGTGTGGCGCACCTCTGCAGAGCAAGCAAGGAGGTGCCCTTCAAATCTTGTTGGGTGGGCTAGTCCTCATTGGGCCAGGCTGGATGGAGACTCTAGGGCCTGGATCCCTAAATCTGCCCCAAGCTGCAGCCAGTATCCTTGCAAGGGGAGAAGGGAGAAAAGCTGTGACCTGCTTTGTGCTCTAGGCTGCTGCAGGAGAGGCTGGTCAGGTGGACTGGACTAGAATGTGACAACCTCTTGCTTCAAGCCTTCAAATGCTTTCCACTTATTATTATTATTATTATTTTGCTTTCTGCTTATGATCATCACACACTCCCAATTTCTTTCTTTTTTAAAAAAAATTCTTTTATTGGTACATTGTAGGTATACAATGCAATTACATTTCTCATTGGGAATTGTACCTTTACATAATGCATCTTGGTTCTTATTTTTTCCCCATTCCTAGCCCTCCCTTCACCCCCTCCACCCTTCCCTATTTACAAAGACTTTATTTCCATTTTTTCCATTTCTCATCATTTTTCCTTTCCCTTCTTTCCTTTCCCCTGCCCCTCCCACTACCCCTACCTCTTTGGACCTTTTCTTCCTATTTTGCACTATTGATTATTCATTCTAATCATTGGTACATTTTAGGTATACAATATAATGACATTCATCACTGGAAATTTGCACCTTTACATAGTCTCTCTTGGTTCTTATTTTTCACCCTTGCCCAGCCCTCCCTTCAACCCCTCCAGTCCTATTTACAAAGATTTTGTTCCTATTTTTCCATTTTCTCATATTAATCCCATTCCCTTCTATCCTTTCCCCTAGCCCTCCTACTTCCTTCCCCTTTGCCCCTTTTCTTCCGATTTCACATTACCTATTATACATTTAGTCCTTATTTACACTTTCAGTTTCTCACACCAGAGAAACTATTCAGTGTTTACATATGTGTGTCCTATTTATTTCACTTAAGAGTATCGCCTCAATGTGCATCCACTTAGCTATAAATGTCTCTAATTTCTCATTCTTTATGGCTGAGTAGTACTCCATCTTATTAAAAAACCACATTTTCTTTATCCAGTCTCCAGGTGATGGGCATTTGGGCTGTTTCCAAGTTTTAGCTATCACAAACTGTGCTGCTATGAACATGGGTGCACATATATCACTGTGGTATGATTCTTTTAATTCTTGGGGAAGATCCCCAGCAACACAGTCCCAATTTCTGCCAAGGATTGCTCAGGAGGGACAGGCACGCCAGATCCCCAAGACCTAAGAGAAGAAAGCTTTCTTCAAGAGCACTTGGGTCTTCTGAGGCTGATCTTTTTGCCTGTCCCCACCCCCACCCCATCAGAGACCACAGAGCCCAGAGCCTCCTCTCAGGACTCCCTGGCTAAGAGTACACCCTTGGTGGGTTCTGCATGGGCACACAAGCAAAAGTCCCGTGCAGATCACTCAGGAGGTTTTGAAGCAATGTGTACAGTCCTCACAGGGCTGGAGTGCGGGGTCTCGATCCTATTCTCCCTGCAGACATCAATGTCACTTTGTTTATGGGAGGGGGTGGGTGAAGGAGAAGTGTAGGAGATGCCTAGGGATGGGTTTCGGTTAACTACGCGTCTGTTGTTTGATGAAGGCCATGTCGGGAGCAGTGCAGGGCGTCAAAAGGAAACCCATTTCTGATCAGCAGTGTCAAGTGCGGGAGCAGCCAGGCTCATTGGCAGTCAGCTTTCGATGGAACTGCCAGACTCTGAATCCATTAACAGGCAGTGGTGTCAGGAGAAAGACCAGCTTGTCAAGAGGCTCCTTCTGTGGGGCCCACATGCTGCGCTTAGCTCTCCAGAGTGTGGTAAACAGCTCCCTGCTCCCCACCCCAAACACACACACACACACACACACACACACACACACACACACACACACACACATACATATACACACATACATACATGGCCAAGTGAGGCGCACCTCTCCACCAAACAAGGGGATGGTCTAGGATTCTTCTCCTGGCTCTCTCCTGCCTTTCTACAGTTAAGGCCTGTCTCAGTTTGGTGGAATTCCTGTGGCCCAATAGAGCAAAGCCCCAAACCCGACTTCCTAAAGCAGAGACAGCTGGCCTTGTGGGATGAGGCCATGGAAAAGAAAACATTTGTTTTTCTGTTTTAAACAAGGAAGAGAGTGAGAGAAGACAGGTCTATCAAAGTGGCTTGTAGCATGTGGTTGGGGCAGGGGGACCAGGCCCTTCCTTACGTGGCTTGAGGGCACCTATGATGTTTCCATGCAATCCCGAACACATGGCTGGGCCTGAGCCCCAGTTTTCCCACCAGGTAAATGAGAAGACTGTCTTCTTCTAGGAGCAGTTTGAGAATTAAACAAGATAAAAGATCTACAGAATTTAGTTTAGTACCCAGCACCTGAGGCTGTAAGGGATGACAAAGTCCTAAGAGGTGAATCACCACATGCCTGAAAACCCAACCAGGAACTGCCAAACAGAATTGTTAAGGAAGCAAGCAATAAAACTTCTCTTGTGTTAAGACACTGGAATTTTGGGGTATAGTTATTTCAGTGGCTAGCATTACCCGCTAATATTGTCTGATATAGATAGCATCTTGTTTGTGATCAGATCTCTCAATCCCCTTCTCTCTCTCTCTTTTTTTTTTTGGTACTGGGGATTGAACTCTGGTCCTTGCGCTTGCGCAGCAGGCGACAAAACCACTGAGCTAAATCCCTGGCCCAATCCCCTTCTCTTAATTGCTACAAAATAGCTGAATTGGTGAAGGCTTTCATTTGTGGGAGGACGCTATCCTGCATGTCCCTCTTGGAGGACGATGACAGGAGGTTCCAAGTGGCTGCAAGGCAATATGAATCCAGAGGAGGGGAGGGGAGCCTCATCTTCCCTTGACTTCTGCTCAGGGACCCCCAGGAAACATACAAGGCTATTAACCAGAGGGAGCTGCTGATGCAAATCAGCTTGGATAGCCCTATATGTTGTGAGTGGCAGGCACTAACCGTTTGCATGACAAACCTCCTACAAGATGCCGGCTAAACTGCCCTTTTGTGCCAATTAAAGATTCTCCAGAACACAAAGATTACACACCATTCTGCAGCGCTGACAACAATAAAACAATTTTAAAGGCTATTCAGATCTTCAGTTCACAGCTGACACTGTCAGGAGGGGGAGATTGTCTGTGTCTTTGTTCTTTGTTGTTGTTGAGTCTTAAGACCTAACCAAGGATTTCTGGGGGAGGAAGGGAGAGTGGCAGACCAGACAGGAGGAGTTTGAAAAGCCTTCTTGAGTTTTTAAAGGAGAAAACCGAACCACCTGATGTCCTTTTCTTGTGTGTTTGCATGTATGTGTGTGTACAAAAGCCTACGCGCCTGTGCACGACCCGCCCCCCGCCCCCGACACTATTTCTCACTAGCTCCTCTCTGGGGGTCCTCAGAAATGAGTCCCAAGGCATCCTGGTCTCTCCAGGGGTCTGACATACCCTGAGATGTGGGATTATGGGCAGCACTAGCATCTGCTAGTGCTATTTTTAACACTAATTAATTGAAACTACAAGGGCAAAGGCCCAAGAGCTTTTCTTCATATGTTTATTTTAAATGCAAATTTCCAAAAACAGTTAAAATAAAAAACAATTTTGAGTTTTCAGAAGGGAGAAATGTATGCAGACTCTCT